GAGGGTCAGGGGGGGGCGTCATGACCTGCTAGGTATCATCACAGAAACCAAAGTCTTGTGGTATTGGGTGGAGTATGATTCAGAGAACTGAAACTTAAAGGAACTGTCAGCAGAATAGTAATTTTGACCTCATATGGAAGAGTTCCCCCTGCTGGACACAGAGAGGATTGACGGATGGCTCCCTCTGGATTCTCTGGGTGGTGTTGCATAGTAGTTCTGAGTTGATGGAGATTGCTGATTAATTATGGTAACCACCCAGACTCTGACGTGGTGAATAGTTATTTTATTATTAAAGTTTTAATTAGAATTTTTTTTTTCATTTTTACACCAAGGTCCACGGAGAAAAGCCGTGACTTTACGTCCGTGCAGACGGGACGGTGGAACGGTTCTACAGTCTGCTGTTGAGTCTGACGCGGGAAACTGTGGTGACGCTGCCTTGGTGCCATCTGCTGGTTGGATTCTGACACTTCACCGTGAGGTAACTTTTTAACGTTATTTTAACATCAAACAGTTCCTTCTGTCTTAAATTCATTAAAGTATGAAGTGGCATTTGTATAAATCAGTTCCTTCTGTCTTAAATTATTTAAAGTATGAAGTGGCATTTGTATAAAATAAAAAAATAGTATAAGAATAAAATAAAAGTGATTTAAATGTAAATTCTCAAGAAACTAAACCTAAAATAAAAAAAAACACTACAGCCACTAAACAGCCATGAAACCGGTCTTTCTGCGCCTGCGTCCGTGTCCGATAGATGGCAGCATTGCACCGTAAATCTACCCCATATCGTTTTACTGGTGCTGTAAAAAAAAAAAAAGAATCGAGATGAACTTAGTTAAAATCTGACCCGAGAACATTAGAAAGAACCAGACCAACCGGAAGTTGTTTTTTTTTTTTACTGGACATTTCTCTTGTCTGCCCATTGCCCTTCACCCCCCCCCCTCATAGTTCCAATTATTTTGGGCCTGATTTGTTTTCCTCAAGTTGACTTTTACTGAAAAACCAAGAGAAAAAAAGCCAAGAGTCAAGAGTTCAAACAATAACATTTACAGTGGTTTATTTTTCTGCTTTTTACTCTGTCAGTGAACAGACGTATCTTCACCTCCTCCTCCTCCTCTTCCTCCTCCTCCTCTTCCTCCTGTTGTTGTTGTTGTTGTTGTTGTTGTTGGATCAGCAGTGTGGCGGAGCGTCTCAGGGCTGATACACTGACAGTGGAGCTAACAGGTACAGAGAGGAGGCAGAACGATCAGGCGGGGGGGGGGGGCTGGGGGGGGGGGGGGGGGGGGGGGGGGGGGGCTTGTGTGGTTGTTGGTGGGTTTTCCGGGGGGGC